GGGGAAAAAAATCCCTCCCTGGACCCAGGAAACTTTTAACCCCCCCCCCCCCCCGGGCCCGCATTATTTTGTAAGACAGGCCCTATCTTGGGATGTTAAACCCCTCCCCCCCCCCCAGCTTTCTCCCTGACTGAGCTGCCAATAATTATGCTCTCAGGTTTGGGGTTGGGAAAGCCCAGAAGTCTCCACATTGAACTAGCTATAGATGTTCATGCTCTGGGAATCTCATATGTAAAGTCCTCTGATTGTGCTCTATGTGGGGCTACTCTTGCAGCTGATCTGGTTGCCACCATTGATCTAAAGGCAGCTGACAGATTGCTATGTGGGACATCTGACCATACACTTCCTACTCCTTTGCTGAAGCTACACTGGTTCCAGTTAGCTTCCGTGAAAGGCTTTGTTACGATCTCTAAGGCCCTCAGCAATTTGACTTTTGTTGTGGTAGAAAAAGGCAAGTGTATATGGGGTTGTTCCCTGAGATCATCAGGAAGGTCCTGCTGCATGTATCAAGGGCTGTAGAGTGCCACCTGACAACTGTTCATGGGTGCTCTTCAGTATTGCTCTCCAATCCTCCAGAGTCTCCTATTTTAGGCACATTTTGGAAATTCGCTTCTGAACCCAGGCTTGTCCTGTATAAATCCTGACTTATGATGGTCAGATCTGTAGCTGGATAAATGATTAGAGGAACTGATGAATGAACAGAAAAAGAAATAGTCTGGCAGACAGAAAGAATAGTGACATCAAAAATTGTTAAAACTCTTGCAGAATCTGACCCATTTAAATAATTGAAGATGCCTTTCAAAAGCAATTATTGTGAATTAAATCCAATTCCAGTCATACACTTTTCCTTAGTATCCTAGTATTGTAGAAACTGGTGCTATAAAAATTTGAAGAACCATCTTGATGAATATGAAAGATATTGTTTATGGTAGCAATCTGTTTGTCTGAGCGCCATCTCTTTTTTATAGGTCAGATTCTGTTTCTGAGGATCTTGACAGAGCCAGGCCTAAGTTTGTAAGGGAAGTACTGGAAAAATGCATGAGGTGAGTGAGAGACAGCAGCATTTGTATACATATGTGTTCTGATCCCCTCCTCCGTCCAGTAACGAATGCCAAGACAAACTTAACTGGAATGTACTTTAATTAGCAAAACACCAAAACCTCGGTGGCTGAAAGCCAAGCATAACAAACAGATAAGGACCTTGGCAGCAACTCAGACAAACTCAGACAAACTCAGGCAGCAATAAACACAGATAAGGCTTGGCAGCAATCCAGCCTGCCAAGCTCACAGTACTGTCCTCCGACATTCACTCCTGCGTTGACTTTTACAAAGAGGGCCATGTGCACAAGTAGCTTTTATAGTCTGGAGAGGAGCCTAATGACCACCAGCTGAGTGCAATTACCTCCTGTAATTGCGTAATTGTTCTTGATGCTGAGTAGCTCTTTGATGGTGTGCATCCAGGAACAACTCACTGCTGGATTCTGGATCACTCTCCTTTGTTTCCTCCCCACTGGTCCAAAGCTCAAGCGCCTCCTGGTGGCTCTGCGCCCTGCTCGGAGTCGGAACCCTGTCTAGGGTCCTCCACATTCTCCAGAGTTGACTCATAGGGCCCCTCGCTGTCGGAGTCTGGTGGCAGCTCCAACGGCTCCTGCTGGACCACAACAGTTGGCATTTACCTATC